CAGCCTCCCAAAGGCGCGGGATTACAGGCTGAGCCACTGAGCCCGGCTAGCTGTTCATTCTTGAAATATTTCTAGAGCACTTACTTGGTATCAGACCCCATTCTGGGCTCTTCTCTCTTAGTGAACAAAGCAAACAAGATCCCTGACCACACAAGGCCTGTGTTCTAGTGGGAGATGGGAAGTAGGCAATTTTTAAAGATACCCTAGGTAGGCTGATGAAGTCCATGAGGACAATTAACAGGGTGATGCTGAGGCAGGCCTCAGCCTGAGACATCTGACCTGAAGCCTAGATGATACAAAGCCATGGCACCTATTATTATTATTATTATTATTATTATTAGAGTTGGAGTCTCATTCTGTTGCCCAGGCTGGAGTGCAGTGGCATGCTTATGGCCACCACAGCCTTGACCTGCTTGGGTTTAGGTGATCCTTCCATCTCAGCCTTCCAAGTAGTTGGAACTACAGGTGCGTGCCACCATGCCCGGCTGATTTTTTGATTTATTGTAGAGACGAAGTTTTGCCAAGTTGCCCAGGCTGGTCTTGAACTTCTAGGCTCAGGCAATCCTCTCACCTCGGCCTCTCAAAGTGCTGGGATTACAGGTGTGAATCACCATACCCGGTAATAACTCCCATTATTAAAGAAGCTGTGAGATCATTGCTCATTCACCTCCAGACAGAGCAGGACCCCTCTTGGGGCCGTCTGGTACCACCCCACCCCAAGCATGGAAATAGGGAAAATCTTCAGTTCCTTCAAGGGAAATTTCAGGCACCTGTCAGCCCTAGAAGTGAATGAATGACTTGAAAAGCAGGAATGTTGCAGTAGCTTGAAACAATAGCACCGGATGTTTGGTTCCCTATGGAAACTAGAGACAACGTCTTATCATATTTCTCTGAGTTGTTTTCAGAAACTCAGACCCCACCGAATGGTTCCGCTGGACTAAACTCTGACCCGTTATTTGCTATTAATTTTTTCCTGAGGGGCCTAGAGGAAGTTACACCTACAAGCCAGAGCTATCATTTTCTGCTGATCCAAAATTTTTAGACAAAACTTCTCTTCCTTAATCAGTTGCAAATCAGAAAATCTTTGAATCCACCTGTGGCCTGTGGACCTTTGCTTCAAAATGTTTTGCTGTTTTGGGTCAAACCAATGTACAGCCTCCATGTACTGATTTACGGCTTTGTCCGTAACCTCTGCCTCCCTGCCTTTAAAAACACTTACCCGTCCGGGCACGGTGGTTCAAGTCTGTAATTCCAGCACTTTGGGAGTCTGAGGTGAGGGGATTGCCTGAGCCCACAGATTGGAGAATAGCCTGGGCAGCTTGGTGAGACGTCATCTCTACAGTAATTACAAAAACTAGCTGGCGTGGTAGCGCATACCTATAGTTCTGGCTACTTGGAAGGCTGAGGCGGAAGGATCGCCGGATCCCAGCAGGTCAACACAGGGGTGGCCGTGAGCATGCCACTGCACTCCGGCCTGGGGACGAGTGAGACTCCAACTCAAAAAAACAAAAAACGCTTCCCTGTGAGTCACTGGGGAGTTGGAGTCTAAGTGTGAGCTGCCCGATTCTCCATGCTGATCAGTGAAGCCCTGCATGGCTTTTGGTGCCAGGGGAAACCACTGATGTCTTTGTTTTAACAAAGCACCTTGTCCCATAGTCCCTCATTTGCACCTCAAAACACACCCTTTCTCCCCTATCATTCACCAACTGTTTATTCTGTGCTGAACACTTTACATGGATTAGGTCAATTAATTCTACTCTGCGATGAGATACTCTTTTCACCCCCATTTTTCAGAGGAGGATCCTGAAGCTCTGAGAGGTTAAGTGACTTGGCTGGGTTAGTCTAGTCTGTAAGTGGTGAAGCTGGCGGTCAAAACCAGGCCTCCCCTCTGTAGACCCCTTCTCTGTCTCCACTTGGTGTCCCCCTCCAGTCTCAGCATACATTGGGGCTAGATTGAAAATGTCTGGAATTAACTAAAAAGCAGCTGGGGCCAACTGACTGTGAGTCCCAGGGGAGGCAGCCTTGGGACCTAGGGAGTGGATCATGCCTTGCAGTGGGCCCCATGCCTGTGACTGAGGGTGGTGTCTGGGCCTGTCTGTCTGGATGACAATGAGGAGGCATCTGGGCAGGACAGCGGGCAGTGTCTCCCTCTGAATGGCTGCCACCTGGTGCTCCAGTCTGCCTTCTCAATTCCTTGCTCCTTGGTGTGCTCCTGCCAGGCTGCAGTCACCCCTGGAATCTGTGTAGGTGGTCATGTCTGTGGCCAACAGCATCTCTTCAGTATTGACTGCTTCTGTTCCTGGGGTGCTCCCCGGCTTTGGGAATCCTTTTCTCTGGGCTTCCTGTGATTTGACTTCCCCCGCCCGTCTTCCGTCTCTTTGCCCAACAACTTGCATGCTTTCATGCTAGCATTCTCTGTGCATACGCATTCTCTCATGCTTCTGGGCTTTTGCAAGTGCTGATCCCTCTGCTTGGCATACTTTTCCCCATCTTCTCTTTCTGGCAAGGCATTTTTTTTTTTTTTTTTAGTCGGAGTCTCATTCTGTCAGCCAGACTGTAGTGCAGTGGCCGCTCCTGGCCACCACAGCCTTGACCTGCTGGGCTCCAGCGATCCTTCCGCCTCAGCCTTCCAAGTAGCTGGAACTACAGGCGCGTGCTACCACGCCCAGCTAATTTTTGATTTTATTGTAGAGACGAGGTCTCGCCAAGTTGCCCAGGCGGGTCTCGAACGCACAGGCTCAGGCAATCCACTCATCTCAGCCTCCCAAAATCCTGGGATTACAGGCTGAGCCACCGAGCCCGGCTTGGCAAGGCATTCTTACTCACCCCATAACCTCCTCACATTGCTGTAAAGCTTTTTTGATTCCCCCATGTCCCCTCACCACACTGACCTTTCCTGCTCCATGTCCCCAAGGTACTTCCCGCACCACCCTGTGACAATGCAGCTGAAATGTCCTGTCTCTCTAGTCGCTTAACAAAAGCTACAGCTTTTTTTTGCTCCTCTTCCCATGTAGAAGAGCCTAATTCCCCTCCCCTTGTGTGGGCTGGGCTGGCCTTGGGAACGTGCTTGATGGATAGAATGTTGTGGGCATGACGATCTGGGACTTTTGAGGCTAGGCATCAGAGGTCTTGCAGCTTCTGCCTGAATCTGTCAGAACGGTCGCTTTTGGAAGCTTCTAGACTGCGAGTAACACAGCCACAAGGAGAGGCCACGTGTGGATGCTCCCATGGACATTCCCAGTGCAGCTGCCAGCCGATATCAACTTCCACCATGTGAGAGGACCATCTTGAACACCCAGTCCAGTTGAGCCTTCAGGTAACACCAGCCTCCATAGTTGTATGACCCCAAGCAAGGAGATACCTCAAGTAAGAACTCTCAGTTGAACCCATTCAACCCACAGAACTATGAAAGGTAATATATGTATGTTTTTTTGAGTCAGGATCTTACTTTGTTGCCCAGACTGGAGTGCAGTGGCATGGTCATGGCTCACCACAGCCTCAATCTCCTGTGCTCAATCCTTCCTCCTCAGCCTCCCAAGTAGCTGGGACCATATGTGTGTGCCACCATGCCTGGATAGTTTTTTGGAATTTTTTTTGTAGAGATAAGGTCTTGCTATATTGCCCAGGCGGGTCTTGAAGTCCTGGGCTCAAGCAATCCTCTGGCCTCGGCCTCCCAAAGTGCTGGGATTACAGACCTGAGCTACTGTGCCTGGCCTAAAAATGGTCTTAAACCATTAAGTTTTGAAGTGGCTTGTTCCTGGTGCGATAGGTAACCAAAACACTCTTCCTCGTCAGACTGTAGGTCCCTAAAAAGTAGGGATGGTGTCCTTATCACTCTGGATCTCTAGTCCCAGTCCAAAGCCCAGCAAGGAGCAAATAGGTGCCCATCAAACATTCTTTGAGTGAACGAAAGAAACCCATCAAAACTCACTGTTCACCCTGAGATAGAATAGATTTATTAGCAAGAGGTAATCAGGAAACATATATTTTTACAAAAATGGAAATTTCTTTTTTTTCCAAACAAGCTGTAAGTTGAAATATTTTAGGACTTGAAATAGAATTCTCATACCACTAGGTATTGCTTACAGCAAAAGTTGTCTGTTTGTCGGAGTGGAGCATGCCTGCCACTTCAGAGTTAACCTGTGTTGTTCTATACTGTACAATGTAAAAAATACATGGTAATATTCACAGAATAAGCACTACCTTACTATATTCCTGCTAGAAGGCATTTAGACAGGACTACAGTATATGCAATAAAAACACTTGGTTATTAGTTTCCTAATTCTACAGTGTGGTACTAATTATCACAAGATATACAGACCGAGAGCATCTCAACGTAAGCTTGGAGTGACCCTTAGGCGGCTTAAAGAGGAAAAGTGACATCTGTGTGTTCCCGACGTCCAGTGGATGCTGGGTGCAAGCGGTCGGCAAACGTCGACGCGGCTTGGTGTTGTGACTCTGGGTTCCTCGGGAAGTTCTAGGGCCTCGTCCAGCTGGGCTGAGACTGCTGTTCATGCTATCTGGTGTTAATCCTAGAGCAAGGAGCGACGTGGGGCCCGAACGGGATGGCAGCGTTGGTAAGAGGGGCGTGGTTCTCAGCAGAGAGGGCTCCCTTCCATCCAGGTTACTGGGAGGCAGACGGGGAGTTTTGAGACCTGCGATTTTGGCTGAAAAAGCTGCTTTGGAAACTGGCATCACCATCAGCGGGAAGATTTGTCAATGACCGGACTTCAGGGTATGGTTTCCCCCCTCCCGCCGCCC